ATCAAAATATGGTTTATTGCCACAGAAAAATTCACAAATTATATGGGCAAAGCGAGCAAAAAAAATAAAATACTACAACATATAATACATACAGTACAGTTGGTTGTTCTTTTATATTCTATGTGATATGTTTTGCATTAGTCATTCGCTTTATCCACAAAATACATTTCACATTTTCTGTGTCAATAGCGCATATTTGGATTTGATTTGACAAATTTCTACTGGGAGATTCAATATTGGCGTCTTGCCTTTTCAAAAATTAATAGCGTTCACTTGGGTAGTATGCAAAAGTTTTTTGGATAATGTTTGCCTATTTTTCGAGAGATTAAAGATGCACGTTCAATCGTCATGGAAAATAATGGCAATTATGGAATATTTGGAAAACGCTTTTAAAATCATTTATTTTTTTAAGTTGTGCTTTTGACACTTTGATACTAAAATTTGAAAATTGGTTTCAAATTAAGTCGTTAATTCCACTTTGTATAACTTCCTTGGAAGAGGAAGTTATAATAATTTTATTATTATAATTATTTGTCTGGTAGCTAAATTATGGAGATATTCGATAAAAGTGATGGAAATGGGACATACTTTACTATGCCTACATTAGGTACCATTGGAATTTTTAGAGCATCCAGTGTAACAATAAAACTCGGTGCTCATAATTTAGAAGAAGACGGCGCCCAAGTGAAACTGAATTCCTCAGTTTTTACGATTCATCAAGACTTTGATCCCGATTTACATTTGCACGATATAGCGATTGTTCATTTAGAGCAAAACGTTACACTTAACGGTAATCATTCTTTGTGGATTTCAGTTGATATATTTTTTATAATAATTTTATTCGCAGATTCGATTTCGACAATTTCCACTCCACCATTAGGCGATATTCTATTGACATTTGCCGACGATTTGGGAATGGTAGCTGGATGGGGAAAAATCAACGATACAGACCCAAATTACTCTAATGTTCTCAGGAAAATTGAGATGACAATTATTCCCTTTCTAGCTTGCACTATTCCGTACTTGGGCAAAGTTCAGACGTCTCAAATTTGTACTACAGGAATGCAGAACGGAAAAAATATTTGCTTGGGAGATAGTGGAAGTCCATTAGTGGTTAATGGAACTCAGGTAAGTTAAGTTACCACGTAACGCGATGGATTTGGATCTGTGATTAATAAGAAAACTAAGTTATGATGGTTTAGACACAGAGTTTTTCATTAATCTTGAATAGCGGAACGGTTGCTGAAAAATATTATTCCTTATTGGTCAGAGTATGATTGTTTGCTTTAAATGCAAGCTCAGTTCAAACGGGCGTCTTTCCTTCAAAGAGTTTTATTGTATTTACATGAAAGTTAATTTTTTAAAATTATACGCTGATTTACTGAGGTTATTAGTGGTGCAAGACAGCTTAAAGCTAATCACAAGTACGAACTTAGCCTTGACTTGCTTTCAATTTCCAATTTATACTGATAAATTGAGAAACATTCAGAAACTGAATATTTGTTTTTCAACCACTGGTTGGAATATTCTAAATATAAAACGCTGGAATGGCCCAAAAAAATAACACGTATTATTCGGATTTTCCTGGGCACTGTTTCTGAACACTATAAAATGAGCACCCTTGAATAATATTTGATTTTCAGGTCGGAATTGCGTCTTATGGGAGCGATTTAGGCTGTTCTGTTGGTGCTCCAGGCGTGTTCACTAGATTGACCAGTTACTACTTCTGGTTGTTGGGCGAGGAATAAGTTCAGCATCTGACCGTTTAATAATGTAATTGCGATTGGAGTCAAATACATAATAAATTACTTTCATTAACGCCGAGTTTTTTTAAACACTCAATAAGAACAGAGGAGTTGAAGTTTTATTTCCATAAAATTTAGCCTCCATCTCTTTGGTGCTACTACTCGATGTTAAAAACGGAAATTTGAATCAAGCAGAATGTCAACATCAAAAAATATCTAAATTTGATTGCATTGCTGAAACGAAAATCGGAGGGGTATAAACCTAAGGAGTCCACGGCATTAACAAGGCAGGAAATAACAAATTTTTTGATCCTGAACACTTTTATATCCTGAAGTGCGTGGCGCCGAAGGTCATAATGTGTGAGATATTTATAATTATGCAACTTTTGATGTAAATAATGAACAATGGAATAACAAATCTGCAATTCCTTTCCTGCGACCTTTCTAGGAAGTTTGGCATATATGTACATAGAACGTATAATACCTGAGGTATCAAAGCGCAGATTAGATTTGTTCACATCAAGCAATTGCGCTTGACGCAACGCTTAAAATATACCTGCTATGTGTACAAATTGGTATCTTTTTTATTTCCTCGGAATAATGATCATTTTAGTGCATATCCTATTTTCACATTACATCTAGCGACGGACCTAGGAGTTTCTTGAGGGGGGCGCATTGATGAATTGACTTTTGGTCTACCACAACCTTTATACTGCAGGTTTTTTATTGCACTAACAAACAAAACAAAAACAAAACAAAAACTACATACAACAATAAATAGTATTTAAAAAAACAACAAAGGAAACCATATGAAAAGTATATGCTTAGGAAGAGATGCGCAGCCTCTGCGCTCCCCCTCCTTCATCCGCCATAGATCAGATCAGTAGATAATGCCCCACCATTATCAGACACATTAAAACATAATCATTCCTTCTTTGGGCATATCAGTTGTCAGTTTTTCTGCACTTGAGAGGTAAGTACCAACAAACCTTTTTTTTAATTTTTATGCATACTGAGCAGATTTTGTGATATGATGGAGGTCTATCCTTTACAAGGTTGATTAGTGCATGAAGGCGACACACCCTAAAAAAATTCAAGCGCTGTTGACGAAAAATGCAGTTGAACTTAATATATCTCATCAATCATGCAAAAAGACATACACAATTTAACAATCTAAAACGTTTTCATTCTCTATTTTTTTTGACCCATCGACTGCTTGATGTCGTATATCCATCTTTTTTAGGGTCTTCCAATGCATCTGTTTGTGGATCGTGGCCGCCATTTTAATAGGCGTTTTATCCACTTATTGGTGTCCTTGGTGTCCATCGTCAGCTACCCGCTCAATTATGTCTTTTACTTTCGTCCTCCTCCTTATTTCTGTATTGCGTATTTTGTTTCGTAGGCTGATTCGAAAAAGGCGTTCGGCCATTTTATCAGTGATGGTTACAGTTTCCAGTCCATATGTAGATATGTGTAAGATGCATGCGTCGTAGACCTTTATTTTTAGACTTATGGGGATATTTTGGTTTTTGAGAATATATCCCAATTTTCCGTGTGCCGAATACGCTCAGTCGTATTCTCCTGTTGTCTCAGCCGTTTGATGTTCCTTGCCCAATGTAATTAAATGTCTATTTAGGTTCAGTTTTAGTCCCACCCGCACAGACTTTTCATGGAGTTCTTTCATCATGATCTCTATTTTATTGGGGTTGCTGCTTATTAACACAATTAATCCTAATCCCAGTTAAGGGGGGCCATGATGGATTTTTGGCCCTGGTTAGTTTGAGGTGGGGTGATTTTAAATGTGTCTTGGAGTAGTGGGTTTGAATGATTGAGGACTTTGGATTTGAATTTGGAGTGCTTTTTGGTGAGGAATTCCTGTATGGTGTCCATTTTCAAGTCTTTGTGTA